CTCTCTCTCTCTCTCTCTCTCTCTCTCTTTGAGCCTGAGGGTGCTTAATCCCTGGGCCATATACCAAGCCACCTTTAGGTTGCTTAGGGCTTCACTAAATTTCTGGCTTTGAACTCCTGGTTCTCCTGCCTCAGCCTCGTGCGTGCACCACCGTCCCTAGCGTAACGACAGGTTTCACCGCGTGGCCCAGGGTTCCACCAAGTGCCTCCGCCATGTGCAGATTTATCTACTTATTTGTTTGTTCATTCTTTTCAGCTCTACATGACAACAGAATGTATTTTGACACATCCTACACACGTGGAATCTAACTTATTCTAATTAGGATCCCATTCTCATTGTACGTGACGAGGAGTTCCACGGGTTCCATGATAAACACGGGAAAGTTCTGTCCAACTTATTCTACTGTCTTTCGCATTCCCATTACCCCTTCTTTCCCTTCATTCCCCGTTCTCTGATCCAATGAACTGCTATTATTTCCCCCTACCCTGTGGGGTGTTAGCCTGTGCATATCAGAGAAATTTTGGTCTTTGGTTTTTTAGGGCTGGCCTATTTCAGTTGGCACGATAGTCTCCAGTTCCATTCATTTATTGGCAAATGTTACAATTGCATTCTTTATGACTGAGTAATATTCCATTGTGCATATGTACCACCTTTTCTTTATCCACTCATGTATTGAAGGGCATCTAGGTTGGTTCCATAGCTTAGCTACTGTGAATTGTGCTGCTATAAACATTGATGTGGCTGTATCACTGTGGCATGTTGATTTTAAGTCCTTTGGGTGCAGACCAAGGAATGGGGTAGCTGGGTCAAATGGTGGTTCCATTCCTAGTTTTCTGAGGACTCTCCCTACTGCTTTCCAGAGTGGTGGCGCCAGTGTGCATCCCACCGTCCTGCGCTGCTTGTGTCCCAGTCTGCATGACTGTGATGATGGGCAGGCCTCAGAGAGAGGCTCTGTCTGACTGCTGCTCTCTTTCCTCACCCGTCCTGCTGTGGCTCTCTCACCTTGTTCTCTCTCTGCCTTTGAATGAGCGTCTGACCGTGCCCCTCTGTTGCAGGTGTGATGAAGCCACCAGGGCCTTTGGGGGCAGCTGCCCCTGGGGTGATGCTGCCGTCCCCACCTCCTGGACCACAGCAGTTTGGCCAGAATGCACCTCACGCCTCCAGCGCCCCAGGCCTGCCTCCCCAAAGGTGAGGGGGGTCCAACCTGTGTGGACACACTCCAGTCTCCCGGGCGGTGCCCTGTGTGCTTGATGTTCACGAGAGGAGAGTTGCTCTGCATGGAGTCGGTTCCTTGGGAAGATCTACTGGAAAACTACCCAGAAACAAAGCCCTGGGAAAAGTCAGGGGGAAGGGGTATTCCAGAATAGATACAAGTTGCTGTCTCCATGCCACAGGATTTAGTTTTGGGTTATATTCAGTATTTTAGAGCTTTGTGCCCTTCCTTTAGACGCCTATGGTCTCTATTAAACTTTAAATTGCCCTACTCTCCTGGGTCCTTCACAGGGTGAGCTCGGTGCCAATGAGTGCTCGATAGATAGTCTGAAGTACACACCTGACTGCAGCCGGGTGAGGCCCGGGGCTATGTGTGAGGGTTTCCCTCGGCAGAAGAGGAATAAGGAAACAAACCTTGTGCTTGTGATTACAGCAAGCCTAGAAAGCAGTTAGAGGGGCTGAGGAGCCCAGGTGTGAGACGCTTCAGTTTTCAGAACCTGCCACTCACAGGGGACTGTCCCTGGGGACCAGAGCCAGCGTCAGGCCCTCCCTGTGGGAAACACCTCTGTTGTCCCGTGAGCTCCTGCTGCCAGCCACAGAGCCAGGCGGTGGGGCAGGGCACCTAGGAACTGCTCCAGAATCGCCGGCGGCTCCCTCTCCAGGTTCCTGTCCCAGGGAGGAGCCTCCGTGTGACCTGGACCGTGCCAAAGCCATGAGCTCCTGCTAGTAAGGAGGTGTGTGCTGCCAAGTTATGTCCTGCAGGACGGTGTGGGAGCCTGAGGCTTCCTGCGTGGGCTTGTGTGCTGACTGTCACTGAGACCAGCCCTGGACCACCGAGGAAGGGTGCCTGGGGACTCCAGGGGTGAGCGGCATTTGGCTTCAGTGTGGTCAGCGCACAGAGCAGAGGTCAGAGGGACCTGCATGGCCTCACCCTCCACCTTAGCCCCAAAGCCTGGCGGAGGCCACAGGGGAGGGAGGAACCAGGGGCCACGTCGATGCTCTGCCCGAGGGAAGAGAGGCTGCAGAACCCTCAGTCCAGAGTCAGGGGGGCCCAGCACCCACCTCCTGTGAACTCAGGCGTCTGGACATTCCAGACACAGGGTCAGGCTGGCAGAGAAGTCTTGGTCACGGCACCAGCGTGAATCCGCTCCATCTTGGTGACAGTGGCCGGCTCCCTGGGGTCAGGCTGCTGAGGAGGGGGAGCTGGACTTCGCATCACGCTCAGCGTGTCATGGTGTCTGAAGGTGAGATCCGGGAGGCAGGACAGGCTGCGGTCTTCTGAGGGGCCACCACGGCGGTCCCAGTGAGTCCGTGGCTGCAGGACGGTGCTTCCGCACCCACAGGCCTGCGGACAGCCGTGGCCTCCTGTGAGTGGGCATCGCAGAAGGCCTGTGGCCTCCTGACCTCGGGCCAGCGTGGTGTCCCTGGTCTCCAGTGACCTAGGGAAGGAAACCACTATGCACTGGTACCCTGTCATCGGGTGGCGGTCCCTGCTGCCCCCGTCCTTCCTCAGAGCACAGTCTGGCTCCCCAGGACCACCGGCCTCTGAACCTGCTCCCGCTGGGCCTCCAGGGCGCCACAGGCGGGGTCGCCTCCCCTGGGGTTCACTTGAGGCCACCCGAGTGGGACTGGGGGTGGCAGTGGGTCGGGCAGGTGGCAGGGCTGCCATGCTCCCTGTCCCGGGTCAGACGGTGCTGCAGGCCGAGGGCCCAGGAGCGGTGGTGAGCCCAGCAGAGCACTGGCTCAGCCAGCACGGGGCAGGCAGCTTCTGAAGTCGGCATCGCATCTTTGTCGTTCCTACACAGAGGATCCATCAAAGAGATCCTGCTTTTCCAAATCTCAAATGTCAGATAAAAGCAAGATTAGGGCTGGGGTTGTGGCCCAATGGCAGAGCACTTGCCTAGAACATGTGAGGCCCTGGGCCCGATGCTCAGAACCACATAGATTTAATAAGTAAAGCTGTTGGGTCCATCCACAGCTTAAAAATAAAAAAAAATTAAAGGCAAAATTAAGTCAGAGTCCTGTGTTGATTTAACTTTTTTTTTTTTTTGGTACTGAGAATTGATCCCAGGGGCACTGGACCCTGAGCCACATCCCCAGC